CCCCAAAACCCCAAAACCCCAAAACCCCTATCTAACTCAATCTATTTAATTTTATCATTGTCATATTTGCTTTGATAACATTGGATAACAAGACTTAGGATTCATTCTTTAAACAACAAAAGATTTATTAGCTCTGCTCTTACACATAGAGGGTGTAGGAGCAAGGAATGTGAACCCTTGTATTGGCTAGGGAAATCCTGTATGAGTTATCTAGCTCTGTCTTTGTTGGCAATGGTCTTATACGACTGGGGCTCATCTATAGAATTATTCCAAGAATTACCATCATATTCGTTATTTACAGCCCCATTTCTTGTGTTCTGATGGTGTCTGGAGTCCTCAGAATGAAACATCCGTTTACTCTTGCTAAAATATGTAAAAATTTGATCAAATAATTGGGATTGTACCCCAAAGGCACTTACTTAGTTCTTTTAAAGCCTCTCAATTTCTGTTTATTATGCCAAATTGGTTTATCCCATTTGAGCTTATTTGTAATCTGAGGAAGACTCTTCTTAAGAGAACTCAAACTCTTGTTAATTTTCTCAATTAGAGGATGCTTATCCACTTGAAGAACTTCCTGGGATTTATTTGTAAGATACTCTTCAGAAGTGTTTATATCAATCGATAAAGTAGTATCCTTACTCAGCATAGTTCGATGCATTATTACATTGTCATTATAGTTACTCAAAATCCCTTGCAGTTTATTTCTTCTGCTTAATAATCTTAGTAAAGAACTTCCTGTGAATTGCACTTAGAGAATGCTTTTCTATCTTCTGTTTCATTGCCTTCACTCTTTCTGGACTATAAAGAGGAGAATACTGATCATCTTTCTGATCTAATAAGCCTTCTTGTCTTGCTTTCTGTTCTATCTCATTGGCTCTGGCTTTTGAATTTTGGATTTCCTCGTCAATATCAATCTCAGTTTTAATCTGAAACTCGATCTTTTTGTCATACTTTGACTTCCTTTCCTCAAGAGCCATGAGGTCTTTAAGAAGTTGGCTGATCTTGTTCATAGCATCATTCTTTCCTTGGTGAAGAACCTGGTCTAGCTTCTTATTAGTACTGAATTCTTGGGCTTTAAGGTTGGTATTTCTAGAGATTAGTAAATAGGTACTCGCTAGTCATCTCTCGGATCTTTTCCTTCGTCTTCTTGACTTCTTTCTTCAAATTAAGGATGTATCTGGGGTCCTGTACCTGAAAGACTCTGTTCTTGGTCTTCAAGTGCTCTTCCCGTAGGTTTTTAAGCATTTTAGAGTAATTTTGGGTCTCCTGGTCCTGTGCTTTAAGCTTCTCGTCCCGATTCTTTTTCAATTTTCCGTGAGATCCGTATTTATAGCTCATCGAAGAATGAGTCTTTTGTCTAGAATAAGTATAAAACAACTTACTTAAACTCCTTAACGTGGGTAAGGAAGGAGGAAAGGTACTCATTCAGCTTCTTGACATTAGTACGAAGGACCTTGTTCTCCTTGTTGAGAAGTTTGAGTTTGTCTTCGTTAATATATTGGTCTTCGACAGCCTCTCTAATCTTCAAGCATTTGGTCACAGACGATATTATTTCTGCCATAGTGTGCTTATGCTTCGTGTCAAAGTCTTGTTTGGAATCTTTGTAATTTAGAAGTGATTTATTCCTTCCAAATTTACCCCTCAGACCACTCAAGCTCTGATTTCCAGTGAATCTGGAGAGTGAAAGGGAGGTCTTATGCTTAGCATTCATCATGGAGATTTTAGAGCTTCTTCTGCCCTTAATAAAGTGTTGCCTATTCATCCCAGTCCCTCCTTCATCCAGATAACTACTTGAATTTTGATCGTTCTCTAAAAATCTGCTTGATGCTATAAAAGTTAAGATATTGCTCAAAGTGAGAAGCTCGAAATTTATAATTTTAAGTCTACAAGAATACATTTTTGATATAAAATATCCTAAATTTCACTTAATTCACAAAATGGGAGTATGGGTGCAAGCTCCCAAGGTTTCGCAGATAATAGGGGAAGATCTGATAATTTTATTCAACCGGATGAATAGCCCCAGTATCCCAATAAATCTTACTATCATTCCTGAGCTCATTCTTATCTAAAAAGTCTGCCATTTCTTAGATTAAATAAAATTAACTTGGACTTGGATGGGGTTTTGGGGTTTTGGGGTTTTGGGGTTTTGGGGTTTTGGGG